TCTGATCCTTCCGCCTCAGCCTTCCAGTAGCCGGAATTACAGGCACGCGCTACCACGCCCGGCTGATTTTTTGATTTATTGTAGAGATGAGGTCTCGCCTGCCCAGGCGGGTCTCGAACCCGCGGGCTCAGGCAATCCACTCACCTCAGCCTCCCAAAGGCGCGGGATTACAGGCTGAGCCACCGAGCCTGGCTTGTACACATATTTTAAGAAAGGAAAAAACTGTGTTAAAATGGTAATACTCTAGATATACTGATAACAAAAGATGAACACAAGTCACATTTGATTTCTGCAGTTACAAGAGGTGTTCAAAGTAGTCACCATCAGCATCCAGACACTTCTGACTCTGGCAAATAGCTCTTAAAATGTGTATATAGTGGTTCCTGCTACCTGGAGGGCTGAGGCAGAAGGATCCCCTGAGCCCAGCAGGTCAAGGCTGTGGTGGCCGTGAGCGTACCACTGCACTCCAGCCTGGGTGACAGAGTGAGACTCTTTACTCAAAAAAAAGTATGTATATTTTTTGGCACCCCTGGTTTTTAGTTTCCTTAAGCATTCTTATTTCCCCCCCACACCCAATAAGATAGATACATCTGGTAACGTGTCCGGGAAGTGGCCCAATATACTATTACGACTGCACTAAGTTTGCCACCAGATATTCACAGAGGACGGGAACCCACCCTGCTCTGCTGTTGACTGACCTGCAATTCTTGGGAAATCACTTATCTCTATTATTGTTGAATCTGTTCTTCAGTCTGTAAAATGGGGGCAAATATTTATTTTACCTACTTCACAGGTTTATTGTGAAGGTCAAATGAAGTAATATATGTGAAATTAATTTACACCTTATAAATATATAACCAGGAATAATGATATAGTCACTTACCACTTGTCCTTTAGTAAATGTCTGGTATTAGCAAAGCTGAGTACTGATTTCTCTAATTGTGTTCACTTAATAGCACCAAAGATTAGTTTTTTTGTAAAAGCTAGGTGTCGTGGCATGCACCTATAATCCCTTTTTTAAGAAGGTACGCCTGAGATCAACCTGGGCAACATAGCAAGACACTATTTCTAAAAAACAAAACGAAACAAACAAAACTACTCATCTTTCAGAAAGGACATAATAAATGTTTTCTTAACTACAGAAGCTATTAAATTGCTTGGTAAAGGTCATCCTTGCATAACAGATCCATATTCCAACAAAAATTAGCTTAAGGTGGTTCAGTTTTACCTCCCTCAAAGTATGCAAATGGATTAGCAGACCAGGATGCAGCCTGTGTGTGTGTCATAGGTCACATACGGGGTCATTTCACCCAGTACCTCAATCTGCAGCAAACACCAAGTGGCACAGAGTTCTAAGCCCTAGTCCTTCCCGCCTCATCAGTCACCCCGAGAGCCTCTTCATCACCCCTGGTGAGAAGAGAAGAGGAGAATGAGGCATCAAAACTATTCCCAAGTCCAGGACACACCAGCCCTCCCTCCATGGGTCTGGGGCCTAGTTTCTTTCTGCATGACACTGATTACTGATGTACTGGGTTGATGGTGTACTTACGAGCTGATCTTGAGCCCAGTAACTCTGTGAACTGCAGTTACTAATTTTCACCAAAACTCTTGAAGAAAAATCGCATAAATGTCTGAGAGTAGCCTGTATGCTAGAAAGGAGCCAAGTTCACACACAAGGTACACATGTGCACCAGGTTCCATTTCTGTTCCTTTCTTGTCGTTTAGATTGAATTGCAAATACATTTTCAGCCACCACAATAAGAAAAAGGAGAGAAACATAATGAGTACTTTTGAGCAAATTTTGCCAGAGGCAAATACTTTAGACACTGCTTGTTTCAGTATAAAGCAGCTGAAATTTGCCTTTGAAATAGAAACAAATGATACAAACTGCTTGAGCACTTGAAATTGTAATTTCTTATAAAACTCTAGCTCTTTCTCCTCATTTAGAAACCGCTTAATATTTCTCAAGTACTCCTCTGAATAGAAGGCTCATTTTGCCAGAAACATCCCACAAGTAGATATCATGTTTCTTTGTGTCAAACCCATTGGCTTTTTGCTAATGACTTAATTTCTACAACCTTCTGTTGAAAAATAATGTACTGTTGCTGGCAAAATCACTGCACCAGCTTTGTCCCTGGCAAAAGATACTTGAAAGAAAAGTGACCTCAGAAATGTCTTATATGAATGTGATTTGTTCCAAGGTTTTAGCCTTTCTTAAAAAAAAAAAAAAGTTTTTGTTTGGGGATTTTTTAAAATTAGAAATGGGGTCCCGCTATGTAGCCCAGGCTGGATTCAAATTCCTGCGCTCAAGTCATTCCCTGCCTCAGTCTCCCAAGTAGCTGGGACTATAGGCAGGCACAACAGCCAGATGGGTTTAGGGATTTTAAAAGAAAAAAATACTAAACACACCATGACACACACTCTCTGTTGAACGGGCTAATGAATATGTTGACATGATCTTGAGAGTCCTTTCATTTCAAGACTCCCCAAATTACAACTAGGATCATGTTGGAGGCCAACTTCCACCTGATCTGTTTTGTTCTTCACAGAAGCTTCTCTGTATGAAACAGCAACAGCCACGATCAGCTGCGGGTAACGCATACTCACCAAGTGGACATAAGGCACAAAGTATCCGAAAAGCGCCAGCGGGATTCCAGCTGCCCACACCGTGTACGCTGTCACCTTGAAGATGGCAAAATTGAAAATCTTTTTGGGGGGACTGAACTTTCTCCTGGAAAAGAGGGAGGCTCCGCTGCTTCCACTCTCCTTGTCTTTGGTCCTAGGAACAAGAGGCCGGTAAGTGAAGCCAGCCAGAAAGAGGATGAACATGAAGACGCAGAGGATCCGCAGGGTGTAGAAGAGGCCCACACTGTCGATGAGAACCCGCAGGAGCAGGGGCAGCAGGATGGTGAAGACGCTGCTGCCGGCCGTGACGATGCCATTCACCAGGCCCAGGCGCTTCTTGAAGTAGTGGCCCAGGATGACCAGCGAGGGCTGGTAGGTGAAGGAGCAGCCGCAGGCGAATATGATGCCATAGGTGAAGTACAGAGGCTCGATGGAGCTGCAGAGATGGAGAGGAGAGCGGCGTTCAGCTCAGGGGTCGGGGGTGAGCATGGCAGCCCCTGTGGGTCGGCTCACCAACACCTCCCCTGCAAGCGAAACTAACGCAGCACGGGGGTAGTGTACACATGAGAAGGGAGCCCTGCAGGCACCTCCCCTTCATCTGAGCGTGTGCAAACGGCCAAGGAGACCGGCTGTGGAGTGCTCTTCCTTCTCTTTCCAGGGACTTCAGGGAACCCACAGGACCAAGCAAGAGTCGCGCTCACCACGGCTCAGACACAAAGGCCGGGGCCAGGCCTGGCATGGGAAATCAGCAGGGATCAAGCCATCACACACCCAAGCCAAGTCTCAAGGAGCCATTGTTTAAAATGAGAACTGAGCAATGAAAACTAATTATTTTGTGGAGTCTTCCCAGATACTTTGGTAACCAATTCAGTAAAGAAAAGGCTGCCATTTGCCCTTTTCTCTCCTGGTTATGTCAGGAACACGTGCCCAGTGGGGTAGCTGAGCAAGCCTTTCTGCTGGCCTCAGGGCTGTGGACCAACCTTCGCCCTGCAGTGCACTGTGCCCAGGGTTGTGCAAGATAACAAGAAATCATATTCTGATTGCAGAAGCCCTGAAGTGCGTTCCATGAGTGATCCCAGTGTGTAAGCGTTAAGGCCACGCATGTCTCAGAAGAAGAATGGATTAAAGAATTTTACAACGTAACCAAGTAACTGTACACCTCTTAGATAAAGGATCTCATCATCATGTTCTTTGAAACAATTAAAGGAAGGAGTGAAATAAAACTAGTTAACGTTTTTTGAAAAGGTAGTAAAGGTAAACAATGTATTAGAAACTAAGACAAATAAAGTTGGTTAATAATTAAATTTTGGACAATAATGCTGGTCTAGCAACATGCTGAGGCAATTTCAAGACCTCTGGCATCAGTAATGGCAGTCCTCTCCCTGCGACACCCTGGTCCCTTCATCAATCCACAGCCTGCATCACCTTTAAATCAGGCTCAAGAGTTGCTTCCAAGCTTTCACAGAATGACCTCACGATACTCTGATCACCCTTTACTGAATCTCCATTCTTTATTCAACCAATATATTAAGCAACTACTGTGCACCAGGTACTTTGTAAGAAAAAAATAAGTATATATACATATGTATGTATGTATAATGTGTTTCTGTAGCCTCGGCAAAAAAACAAGATCTCGTCTACATAAAAAAATAAAATAAAAATAAAAATTAGCCAGGCATGGTGGCATGCACCTGTAGTCCCAGCTACTCTGAAGGCTGAGGCAGAAGGATTGTCTGAGTCCGGGAGGCCAAGACTTTGGTAAGCTGTGCTCAAGCCACTGTACTCCAGTCTGGGCAACAGAGTGAGACTCCAACTCAGGAAAAAAAGTGTTTTTGCTTTAGAGTCTGCTTAGTGACTAGAAGACACGGCTCCATAAAAAGAATCCAGTACAGAACAAAATAGAAAAGAATACTTCATTCATTCTGAATCAGTTTTTCCGCAAAGTAGTTTTCCAGATAATTACAACTTATCCCTCAAAGCGCTAATGTTTTCTATCAGAGACAGGGTCTCTATAATTTTGCTGAGGCTGAACTCAAACTCGTGGGCTCAAGGAATCCTCCCCACTCCAACCTCCAAGTAGCTGGTACTATGAGCGTGCGCCACCATGTCTGGCCTTGTTTTTATTTAACAATTTTAAAAGAAAAAAAAAATCTAAAATCTACTATTCATTTCTCTGCCTTTTTCTTTTTTTTTTTTCTTTTTTTTGAGTTGGAGTCTCACTCTGTCACCCAGACTAGAGTGCAGTGGCACGCTCCCAGTCACCGCACTCTCGACCTGCTGGGCTCCGGCGATCCTTCCACCTCAGCCTTCCTGTAGCTGGAACTACAGGCGTGCGCTACCATGCCTGCTAATTTTTGACTTATTGTAGAGATGAGGTCTCACCAAGTTGCCCAGGCGGGGTTCGAACCCGCGGGCTCAGGCAATTCACTCACCTCAGCCTCCCAAAGCGCTGGGGTTACAGGCTGAGCCACTGAGTCCGGCTCTAATTTTTTGATTTATTGTAGAGATAAGGTCTCGCCAAGTTGCCCAGGTGGGTTTCAAACCCATGGGCTCAGGCAATCCACTCACCTCAGTCTCCCAAAGCACGGATTACAGGCTGAGCCACCGAGCCCGGCTACTCTGCCTTTTTCAAAGTGTATATTAGAAATTTTGGCTGGGCATGGTGGCTCATGCCTGTAATCCCAATACTTTGGGAGGCTGAAGCAGGAGGATCACTTGAGCCCAGGAGTTTGGGACCAGCCTGGGGAACATAGCAAGATCTTGTCTCTACAAAAATACAATAATATGATAAAAAAAATTAGCTGGGCATGATGACACACAGCTATAGTCCCAGCTATTCAGGAGATTGTGGGGGAAGGACCAATTGAACCCAGGGAAGTTCAAGGCTGTGGTTAGCTGTATTCATGCCACTGTCCTCTAGCCTGGGAGACAGAGCAAGACCTGTCTCTAAACAAACAACAACAAAAAAGATGATACACAACAGTATCATCATGAACATCAGTTGTTGAGCAGTTATACCTCAGCATTGTAATGCTATCAGGTAGAATACCAGAGAGATTCCTCTCTCCCAGAGAGTTCAGTACACAAGATTTGTGACACCCTTTCCACTGCTGCTGGGTGTTTTTCACTCCTAAATTTTTACCTTGGTAACAGTTGGTTCAAGTTGTTGAAGGCTGACAATCAAATACAGTAAGTCCCTTACATATAAACCTTCAAGTTACAAACTTTAACAGCACACACCTGTGTTTTTTTATGTATGTTTCTCTCCATCAGGGTGAGTATAGCCTGTTCAATACAAACAGCACCATAGAGCTGACTGTGTTCGTTGGGTACCTAGACTAACTTTGTTGGACTTATAACAAAATGATTTACGCATGCACTCTCGGAACAGAACGCATTTGTATGCTGAGGACTTCCTGTCAGTGTAGAACAGATCAGTGAGGCTGTGGGCCACGTGTCATTTGTGCATAAAGGATTCAGAGAAAGAACCTTGCTGTGACCCCTGGCACTGGAGAAGGCTCTCCTAGGCTGGTAAAACTGGAACTAGAGGAAACGTGGGCCCACCCTTGACACTGGAACTCACCTCGCATCTCCCCTGGTTCTGAAATGTTGGTGGCCTTTGACCAGTGAGTTAAATAAAGAGAGAGAGCAGCAGATATGAGAACGCTCCATGTGGTAATCTTGGTTTCAAAAATTTTGCTTTACTTAGCGAATAGAGAAAGAGAGAGACACAGAACTGGTGCACAACATAAAATATATTTCATAATTTTTTTTTGAGTTGGAATCTCACTCTGTCGCCCAGTCTGGAGTGCAGTGGCATAATTATGGCTCACTGTGGCCTTGACTTCCTGGGATCAGGCGATCCTTCCACCTCAGCCTCCCAGGTAGCTAGGACTACAGCCATGTGCCATCATACCTGGCTAATTTTTTTTTTTTCTAGTGACAAGGTCTCCCTATGTTGCCCAGGCTGATATTTCATAACTTTTATTGCTCAGTGGTCAAAAAAATCTTGAAAAACATTGCTTGCTGTATGTTTGTGTGTGTGTTTTGTATACCAACTAGGTGGCAAGCTGCATAAGTCTTCCACCTCTCAATCCTCTCTCTCCCAAAGCTGGATGGTAACACGGTCAGGCAGGGGTCCAGACAGCAGTACCCGGAGCTCCAGGACATGGCAGCTATCTGTGAGACATCAGTAACCCAATGCTATGTCACTGCTACAAAAGAACTAAGGGTTACTAGTTCCTCACTGGTGATTATTCCAAACAAAATTGTTTTTCTTCAAAAAACAACTTGAAAAAAAAATCATAAAGGCACCTTAAAGATGGAATCTCTACTTTCCACCAAGAAATAAACATAATTTTTAAAAATTCAAATAAAATATCTAAGTTAGGTGAAAGAAAGCATGAAAGGATGAGAGTCACCTCGGAGGCGAGGAAGCAGGGCAGGAGGGAGGAACGTGAGTAAAGTCAGGGATTCTGCCAATTCAAGCCCCAATATTTACTTATTTATTTTTGTTTTTTTGTAGAGACAAGGTCTCACTATGTTGCCCAGACTGGTCTCAAACTCCTGGGGGCTCAAGCAATCCTCCTATCTCGGCCCCCCAAACTGCTGGGATTACAGGTGTAAGCTGCTGCACCAAACCTTAAATCCTCTTTATTTAAAAACAAACAGTCAAATGTAAACTTAACCTGTTTTCCCCTAATGACCACAGTAATGCTTTTCAATGAACGCAGCATGAAAAGAGCTCGGTAGGGAAAGAGGCGAGAAGTGAAGAGAGGCCTCAGGAGGAGAGAAGGCTGGAAGGGCCCTGGAGGGTTTGTGATGAGTCACCTCCTTCTAGCTAGAGCTACCTGGGAACCAGGGTTTCTCTCCCTGGGGCTGGTCCAGCTGTGCAGGGACTTAGAAGAAACGCAGCCTGAGGGGGTGCTTCCTACAATGATGAGCCCCCCCATGCATGACACCTTCTAACAGATGCAGGAAAAGTCCATCCATGTCAAGGTTCACTTCCAGGTGCATCTGACCACTTTGTTTTGCCATGATATTTAAATTTTAGCATGTTCTCACTAATAAAAATAGTTTATATCGGCCGGGTATGGTGGCTCACATCTGCAATCCCAACACTTGGGGAGGTGGAGGTTAGAGGATTGCCTGAACCCAGGGGTTTGAGACCACCCTGGGCAACTTGGCAAGAACTCATCTCTACAATAAATCAAAAACTTAGCTGGGCATGGTGGAGTGTGCCTGTAGTTCCAGCTACTTGGAGGGCTGAGGCGGGAGGATCACCTGAGACCAGCAAGTCGAGGCTGCATTGGCCATAAAACTCTGGCTAAAAAAAATGTGTGTGTGTGTGTGTGTGTGTGTGTGTGTGTGTGTGTGTGTGTGTGTAAAATATCAGGCCTTTAAAACACCACTGAGTTGACTTTAAACCAAAGCCACTGTTTGTTTGTTTTTTTTTTGAGTTGGAATTTCACTCTGTCACCCAGACTGGAGTGCAGTGGCCGCTCCCTGCCACCGTAGCCTCGACCTGCTGGGCTCTGGCGATCCTTCTGCCTCAATCTTCCAAGTAGCTGGAACTACAGGCACACGCTACCATGCCTGGCTAATTTTTTTGATTTATTGTAGAGATGAGGTCTCACCAAGTTGCCCAGGCGGGTCTTGAACCCACGGGCTCAGGTAATCCACTCACCTCAGCCTCCCAAGGCGCGGGATTACAGGTTGAGCCACCAAGCCCGCCTGCCACTGTTTTAAATAAACTCACTGTAATAACTTTAGTTCTTTTAGGATTTGTATGTGACAAGAGGAGAAAAAAAGGAAAATCATGCTTCTTTACTCTAGGGAACACACAGATCCTGAGGGATGTCCAACTTCTAGACACTGCAGGGAAAAGCACCCACATCTCAAGCTCCGCTCTGCTGCTGTGGATAACAGCTCAATCTGTAAGTCATACTAGTTAAAGTCCTAAAAAATGAAAAGGGGATCTTTCCTAGCAAGCCACAACATTTCTTAAAGTAAAAGGTGAAGGTGTCCAACAGTTAATAAAAAGAACATGAAGAAACCAAGTCCCACCTGACGAAAGAGCTGGCCATGAGTCCGATGAATCCAACGGCGGCGCCCACGACAGCTGTCTTCCGACATCCGAATATATCCGTGAAGACGCTGACTATTGGGCAGCAGAAGAAAATCATCCCCATGGAGAGAGACCCCACCCAGGCTACAAAAGAAGGGAGAGAGGGGAGGGCACATTAGTACATGACAAATGATACCTGCACTTGCTCCACTGGATACAACACTCATGTGAACAAATATCCAAGCAGAAATGGCATTACCCACATGGATGAAGAGGGGAGAGTTGGAATTCAACTCTGGAATCCCAGCTCGAAGCACTGGTCAATGCTAACTGGAATCAGCATAGTCACTGCACCCATTCAATCCAATTCTTGAAAAGTTTGTATTTTCAAATAAACATTCCTCCAGGACCCTAGAACTACATTCATCTCTACTTTGATAGCCTTCTATGGCTTTAAGCAACTTCAAATCTATGGGAAAATATTAGTTTAAGAAAATACAGAGGCTTGGCACAGTGGCTTACGCCTGTAATCCCAGCACTTTGGGAGGCCAAGACTTGAGGATTTGCATGAACCCAAGAGTTCAAAACCAGCCTAGGCAACATATCAAGACCTCATCCCAACAAAAATAAAAAAACAAATTAGCCAGGTGTGGTGGCATGCATGCGTAGTCCCAGCTACCTGGGAGACTGAGGTAGAAGGATCGCCTTAACCCAGGCGGTCGAAGTTGCAGTAAGCTGTGAGCGTGCCACTGCACTCCAGCCTGGGTGACAGTAAAACCCCAAATTAAAAAAAAAAAAATACAGAGGCTGGGCATGGTGGCTCATACCTGTAATCCCAGCACTTTGAGAGGCCAAGGCAGGAGGACTGCTTGAGCCCAGGAGTTTGAGACCAGTCTGGGCAACATAGAGAGATCTCATCTCTACAGAAAAATACAAAAATTAGCCGGGTGTGGCACGAGCCTATAATCCCAGCAACTCAGGAGGCTGATGTAGGAAGATTGCTTGAGCCCAGGGGTTGGAGGCTGCAGTGAGCAATGATGGTGCTACTGCACTCCAACCTGAGCAACAAATTGAGGCCCTGCTCCTAAAAACAAAAACAAATAAAAATTCTTTATAAAACTATACACGTCATCTTCTTTTCCAAAGGCATGTTACCTCCCACAAGAAAAAAAAAGTAAGAATCAGAAGTCATAACTTCTTGCTCCAATTCTGTAAAAATGCAAACAAAAGCGAACCAAAAAGAGAAAAGTCAACATTAAATATAAGTAATTATAATTTTGTGTTAGTTCTTCTAAAAAAGTATAATAAACTAATGTGGCCAAGGTAAACATAGGTTGCAGGAAAAAAAGACCCAAGTCAAGCAAATCTCCAATTCCAGTTACAGTATTTCCTTGGTAAAGTCACTTCCCTCTGAATCAGTTTTCTTGTCTTTTTCTTTTCTTTTTTTTAAGAGGCAAGATCTCACTCTGTTGCCTAGGCTAGAGCGCAGTGGCACAATCATGGTTAACCACAGCCTTGACCTCCTGGGCTGAAGCAATCCTTGGGAGCCTCAGCCTCCCAAGTAGCTAGGATCATACGTACATGCCATCATACCCTGAAAATTTTTAAATTTTTTTGTAGAAATAGGGTCTCACTATGTTGCCCAGGCTGGTCTCAAACTCCACCCTCAGCCTCCCAAAGTGCTGGGATTACAGGCACCCCGCCCGGTTTTCTTGTTTTGAAAATAGATCAAACACATACCTTTCCAGAATTATCAAGGATTAGAGAAAGAGTATCTAAACTTCAGTATCTGACACATAAACACTTAATAATTTAGAGTTTTAACAATGATGACCATGACAAATTGTCTGCCTTACAAAATGAAGCAGATGACATCTCAAGCTCCATCAGCTCTGAAGGTCTTCTGGTGAATAATTCTATTTTCTTAGCGATAAAAGTAAGCCCTATGCAAATGACTATTTCCTACTAGCAGGATCCAAATGGAGCTTCACCATACGAATAATTTCATTTAATTCTCTGCTTGTTTACATTTTCAATAATCATAGATATTATGTGTACCTGTCAGTCATATTTCTATTTCCTTTCTTCCCTTACCAGAACGAAGACTGTAAGCTTAAAACAAAACACAGTCAACAGTGTCATCCTGACTTAGATACAGTGGCAGGGACTCAGTGGACAGCAGAGAGAGGCAGACAGGCCAAGTCAGTTAGCACAGCCCAGACCCAGATGTGCAGAACCGTCAGCATGGGTCTGCGGGAAGAAGGAGAAGGAGTTTTTAGCCTACTGTTTTGTATAAAGAGTTCACTGATCTGTAACAAGTTTAGTCCCGTTTAAAAAAATTTAGTCATCTATCACATTTAAGAAATAATTTAATATTATACTAGGTAGGCTAGGTTAAAAAAAAAAAAACACCCTAATGTCAATTGTTTAGATAAAGACACTTTTACAACCGAGTGAGGCATCAACAGTGGACCATAGAGACCCAAGAGCGGTACTTAACGCTGCATGAAATGTGCATGTGAATCAAGAGACTTTTTAGAAGGGAAAAAAAAAACCCTTCGCAAGTTTTTATAAATCACTTGGATTTTGACTTACAGCTATATGGTACCCAATATAAAGAATGACAGATTTTGATGTGTATTGACCAGGCACTAACAGCAGGATGTAATCAAACACAACTTCTTGCCTTAACTATCCTCTTAACATTTATTCAGTAGGGAAAGACTTTCCTTTTCCACTAAATGACCGCTTTAGCAGGCCCTGGTGATTTTTTTAGTAAGGGTTAAGTAACAGAAAGGCCTCCGGTCATTTGAGGGAGCAAACCAGTCTTCACCAGGCGACCAGGGAAGTGGGAAGGAACTGGAATCAGAGGCTTTAGCTCTGTTCATGGCCCTCCTCCCCTTCCCTGGTCGAGGTGGGTACAGGAGAGAGGGAGGCTGGGGAAAGAGGGCCAGAAGATTCCAACTGCCAGAAGACCTGTCTGATGGTGTGTGAGGCTGGCTCGTTTCTCAGACACACTTTTATGGGTTCTTCAGTCTTGCCCCAGACTTCCTTCTGGCTGTAGGTCCACTGACTTGGAAATCCTTCTCTCCAGCTCTCTGGCTGTCACTCCAAAGACTCACGGTTGGAAACTCGGGGCCCTTCCAGGCTGACTGTTTGGGCAGGAGTCAAGGCAGCTCTAGGCTACCTCTCAGTCCCACCAGAGACTCTGAGCTGCAAGAAACACATTTCCTTTGTACAGACAGACCCTGGGCCTCGCAAATCCCAACACAGCCACCTCCTGTCCAGGCAGATGGGGGTAGTGGGCCAGACACATTTCTCTTTGCAAGATGTCTTGGGGAGTCAGACCGCAGGTCCCTGACCCTGCCAGCTGTGAGGAGTTCTTGACATCTTAAGTGGTCCCTCCCAAGTCACTCTCACTGGGGACATGGACTCTCACAGCTCCCACAGGGAGGCCCAGGGAGCCACAGCACAATTTTCTTAAGAACCTTTACAAAATGTGCTTTCTTGACCAGAAGTAACCTTCTTGAAGGTTTTGGAGCCTTTAACCGGTTTTGTTATGGTCTGAGTAACACTCGGCTGCTCTCCCTGGACACCAATAAATCGAGAGGCAGGGAACTGGTAGAAAGAAGTTTATTTCTGAATTCAAATCTAGGGAGCAGAGCAGGGCTCTCAGCTTTTCTAAAATGGTTCTGCTCACCCTTCATGTTTTACAGTCCAAACTTTTTTGTAAGTTCAGGGTTGTTGGTACCTATACATTGACTACGTGACTAGCAGAGCATTGTAAGACAAAGCAGCATTTTGTCAATAATGACATTTATGGTCCACATTTCCTGGTGCCAGTTACTAGAGGTATCTGACAGCTTTTTTTTTTTTTGAGTTGGAGTCTCACTCTGTTGCCCAGGCTGGAGTGCAGTGGCATACTCATGGCCACCCCAGCGTCGACCTGCTGGTCTCCGGCAATCCTTCTGCCTCAGCCTTCCAAGAGCCAGAACTACAGGCATGCGCTACCAAGCCCGGCTAATTTTTTGATTTATTGTAGAGACAAGGTCTCGCCAAGTTGCCCGGGCTGGTCTCGAACCAGCAGGCTCAGGCAATCCACTTGCCTCGGCCTCCCAACGTGCTGGGATTACAGGCTGAGCCACCAAGTCCAGCCGACAATTTTTTATCAGTAACACCCAGAAGAGGCGTTAATCAAGCTTGCCATTGAATGAAGGGAGTTAACAGGGCCTAAGACATCATTCATTACTACACATTGTTACATACAAAAGTTATACAAATCACAACACTTATGGTTACATTAATACAAAAGTTATATAAATCACAAGAATCACGATTACCTTGATACTATATTATTCAAACCTGTGGTTACCAAGAAAAGGGAGTAGAAGGGATTTTACATCTCTCAGTTAATTGGGCACAGTCTGCAGATAAATTAAGTATTCTTTGAAGTTACTTACTGGGGTGCAAAGGAGATAAGGGGAAGTGCACCTCTTGTTAACTCTCAGGAATATGGGTACATGCAGGAACACTGGAACCCTTGCCATGCCCTTCTCTAGAGGTTGTGGCAGTATGGACAGACAATAGTGGTTCTCCGTATCAGTTTGAACACCTACTCTGAAAAGCAGCATGAAATATCTTACTTTTGAAATTCACACTATTGTATCGTGCCTAAAATGAAATTCCAATAGAGTATTCTGTTATAATAATAATTAGCCATAGATGAAGGTAGGACTGTCTTCTGATCAAATTCAAGAAGTTAATTCGTGAATGAATAATTACTCACTATTGCAAACTACTAAAACTTCTAGTTTTTATAATAACAGGACATCGTGGGTTAATATGGGTTATATATACTATAAAGGTATTGTGGGCTATGATATGTACCATAAAAATGAAATGGACTGTTTTCTTTCAGCCCTTCTGACTATGCTGATTAATAACAACTCAATAGAGCCAGCTGTTGTGCTAATAATAAATTTTCTGTGCTCAGAAGATTATTTCAGGTAACCCTCAAAACTCTGTAGGTAGTATGTTTATTGAGTTCATTTAACAGCAAGAAATTGAAGTACGTAGCCACTATATCCAGTAGTGTAGAATTTGTACTTATTATTATTATTATTATTTTGAGTTGGAGTCT